CCCTCCTGCCCCCACTTCAGGTTTGACTAGTTAGTTACCTCTTCTAGGGAAGTCAGGGGAAGAACAGTGTCTGAGTCAATTAACCAGAATGCAGCTGAACCATGTGCTACAGCCTCATGTACCTTTTTACTCTTACTCCGATTTTGACTATTCCTGAGGATTTGTGTGTTAAAATGAATCACTGCCATTTGAAGCCTGGCAGATCTTGACTATTTTCAAATGTAGTGACAGGTCTGCCGTTAATCAAAAGATCACAAGCAAAGCTGTCTGTTGTCTAAACCAGCATTCACCAGTTTAGATGGTATTGGTAAATGCAGTATCTAGAACCCACAGTTCCTTACATGTGGTGACTTAGCACCAGAGATCATAAAAGATCTAGTTTTCTGACTTGGTATTTTGTTCATCTGCCTGTCTTCATGTGATGTATTGCTTTTCATATAAAACAGTTCTGTCCTAATTCTGAACTCTGTCTTAGTTTTGTATGTTCGTTCTTGTTTTGTTTAGATTGGCAGATATAAAGCCCCTTTCCACCAGCTAAGAATATCATATGGTACTAATAAAGGGAAGAATTACACTGAAGAGGAGGATCGCTTTCTAATCTGTATGCTTCACAAGCTAGGATTTGATAAAGAAAATGTTTATGATGAATTAAGACAGTGTATCCGAAACTCCCCGCAATTCAGATTTGACTGGTTTCTCAAGTCCAGAACTGCAATGGTATGTATTAATCTTGTTTGCTTTTTGTTCATAAATACCTATGACAACACTGTTACACATCAGGCTAATTAAATAGCTTCTGAAATACTGAGCTATGTGCGTGTGTACAATACGTAAAAATTTTTTTAGACTTTCCAACAACTGTAGTGGATGGCAAATGCCATAAACTAAAAAGTCTTATGGGAGGAGAAATTAAAAATTCCAAGGTACTGTTTTTTAAAATCAACATGAATTTGAGTTAAATACAAATGTGTTTTAAAAAGCTAACATCTGTGATCAAATCCATTCCTGTGAAGCCAGCCAGTAACTATCAAAAAATATTTCATTCCTTTTTTGCGCTGCCACGATATAGCAAAAAACTTTTACCTACTTACAGGCATTTCTAATCTTCTAACATGATTTTTACATTAAGTGGCTGCCTAATGTAGTGAGTGAGTATGTTGTGCAATTTAGGAGCTACAAAGGAGATGCAATACTTTAATCACCCTGATTGAAAGAGAAAACATGGAACTGGAAGAAAAGGAAAAGGCAGAAAAGAAGAAACGTGGACCAAAACCATCTTCGGTAAGATTTAAAAAGGCATTTCTCTGGAAAAGCTCATTTGAAGACAGGGTGCTTTTCTAATTGTCTAGGACAAGTAATATCTAACGTTACTTAAATAACAACAACAAAAAACCTATAGGGCAGCGTTAAGAGCTGCTTAAAGTTCACGCTGTCATTCAGGTAGCACAGTTGTGGATGTCAAATAAAGGAAAATAAGTTTAGGTTCTAAACCGTAGCTCACATGCTTTGGAGCAGATGATGTTATGTTCTGGATCACTGAGTTGGTACGCTGTATCAGTTTACCCTGGTAAAGTAAACCAGAGATTCATTTGGCCTTTTGATTAGTTTTTACCCCTAAAGAAATCCTGTGTTTACTACTGAGGGATACATAGGCAACATAGACAATTCATTCCACTTACTTGGAGAATGCTACAGATCTGTTTACAGGTGTTCCTATGCAGACTCTGCTGTCTGCCATCCCTTTCTTTCTATGGGGAGTTAGTCATGAAAGGGGCTTCTAGAGCTAGATTTGGGAAAACAGCACATATGCTTGACTATTCTCTTTGCTGACTAAAATACTGCTAGATAAGCAGGCCTGTGTTGTAAAAGAAATACCTACTTTACCCATTTTCTTGCCTAGATTTGTTGTTCAAGTTGTTGTTGCCTAGAGCTGTTGTATCAGAAACAGCACAACTTACTTTGCAGATATGCAGAAATCAGTAGAGTTAAGAGTGGTGGATTAATAAGTTCCTTAGAACTGTTCACAGAATATTTAAACAGGTATTTAGAAATACCCTTTCATAAATGGGAAGCTTTATAACATCCTTACTTGCTTCTATACACCATTTACCTCTATGAAATCGTACTCTTCCAGAATTGGAAGAATACAAGACAACGGCTATCCTGAGGAGGATCTGCCTATTTGCCATATTACAACATTTGCAACTGATCACATTTTAAAGCTGCCAGGGTCTAAATTATCTCCATGTGCTTTGACTTGAAATGCATTGCTTGCGTACAATCTTCTTGTATCACAATAACTTATTAAAAAACTTACCTTACAGGCACAGAAGCGCAAAATGGATGGTACTCCTGATGGTCGTGGAAGAAAAAAGAAGCTAAAGCTGTGAATGCAGAATTTTTGTAATCACTAAATTTAAAAAGTAGTTCTTTAATTTACGGGTCTTCATAAGATGTACTGTATAATGCTCAACTATTATGTCATTAAAGGACATCGGGTTCATCTGTTTACTGAACTAGAAACATAGTACTTAATGTAGTTTCACTTTTTTAAATGCAACAGCTGTGCTGAATTTTTTTTACCATTAACACTTGAAGTAATAAATAGGCTTCATTTATTAATAAAGCTTCATGTGACTTTTTTTCATTAATGTTTCTACTTGAATACCTATTTATTTAGTAGTTATCCCCCAATTTTTTTCCTCTTAGGGTGTTGCGAACACTTTTTCCATTATGATCAATAGAACTATTTAGTTGTGTTTTCTTGTTACAAGCCACTACCAGTCAAACCCCATTTCTGGAAATTCTGTGGCTCTGACCTTACCTTTATTGAACTTACTTTTACTGCACCAATATACTCTGTTCTCTGACAGTAATAGAAAGGCCAGGTATTACCTCAAGAACTAATGATCAACATACATACAGACTGGAACAAAATAGGAGCATTTTTCTGCTTAAAATCTGTGCCAGAAGAAAGGTAAGTCAGTCATGCTGAGGTTTGTACTTAATTAGAATGGCCTAAGAATGGTAGAATTGTTTTTATTGGCAAACAACAAGAAGTCAGACAGAAAACATAACAGTATGTAGAACCATCCCCTTCTCTCAAACAAGCTGTGGTAAAGGCAGAGACAGCCTTGATTGCTGTGAAAAGAACTGGTGCTGACTCCAGGTGTGCGAGATTGTTGTCTGGCAATCCACACTGTTCACTGAGCTAGTCTAACTGTACCATGCACAAGTGTTTCCTACACTGTCCTTTCTTTTTTATGTATCTGGCATATAATGACTGAGATGAACTCATGTGTTTCCCGATGCCATCATCTAACGGAGCATAATTTTGGAATTTACTACAGAACAAATGCTCAGTTTACTCATTGAGTAATCTTTGCTCAGTTTGGGCCCTTTTACGAATGCATATCAAAAGCCATCAGTGTTGCGTAAGCAGGGAGAAATGAAATGCATCCCTAAAAAAATCGGCTTTTTGGAGCTTAAGCAAAACGAGACTTAAGAAAAAGCTCAGAATTCACACATGTAGATTTCACATACAGCAGTACAGTTCTTACTAGTAAGTTAAATGAGTTTCTATTTGCAGGTGACTGATTTGCAGACACCCATTGAAAACAGGTTGAGTAACCATCCTTGGCTCTTCAACAAGTCAGAAGAATGTGGTACGTACAGTAGAGTTAAGAGCCAATCTACAACACTTTACAATTGGAATTGTCACGGCAGCCCTAGAAGGCATCAGTCTAATTGCTTACGCGTAGTGTACCCTAAACAAAAATGCTGCAGTGCTGAAGCCTTCCTTTAAAAGCATCCCTTTGCAAAGCATCCCTTTTCACAAAAAAAAAAGCCAAACACCATCAAAAACCTTCAGAGGAAGCAGAACAGAAGGATTAAACAGCTGCACAGCACTTCATTTGTGCTAACAAATCTCAAGTGCCAGTATACAGAGAGCAAAAGGAACTAAATCTTAATCTCCCAAATGGCATCCTACTAGTCACAATCCTTTTTCTTTCAAGTAGAAGTAAAAAACGAAGCAAAGTATTTGCTTTAGATGATACAAGTGTGTTCCCCCACTGCCATCTGGCAAAATAAGCTACCTTTTAGAAGTATTTGCCTGTATTTTGATGCTATAATGTCGTATCAAGCAAGGGAAGATAGGCAATTATTGTACAATATGGGAAAGCAGTCATTAGTATTGGTCTGAAGTATTAGAACCTGTTTAAGCATGTTTGAAAGCACTTAATGCCAGCACCTAAGCATTAACATACTATTTTTCTAGCGTGGCTTTACAATACAGTTCCAGTTCTCATTGATCACGTGTAATGCTCTCCTTACAGATAATTGCAATTACAGCCTTACCTTACCTGTGTGAGTCTCCCACCGCTGTCCGTATGTCCGAGGTCCTCATTAAAGTTCGAGGCAAAACCGCTGATATCACTCATTTAAAAGACTACTATTATCTACTACTTAGCTTCTATTCTAATACTACTACCTTCTTCCTTCCCCAGCAATAACTATTTAAAAAAACACAAAACCCTAAAAAACAAAAGCCGTTACATGAAAGCTAGATACTGTACATGTAACCAAAACCAGCGTCCTTCTAAGCACCAAGCTTTCGTGGTGGATATAAGGCACATTTACAGCTGCATATATTCAAGACATTAAAGAAAAACTAGGTTTAAAAAAAAAAAGAAAAAAGCATCAACTCCCATTCATGGAGCACTAGTTTGAATTCTATAAATACATGACTCACACGTGAACCTAGTATACCAACCCTGTCTAGAAATAGCTGCCCATCACAAATAATTGAACCAGCATTAGAACCGGAACAGCCAATTGTCTGTGCAAAGAAGTAGGCCAAGAGCTAGATTTGAGAGTCTGCTTTTTGGTGAAGTTACATGTTAGAAGACAAGCACACAAGAAATTGGCTAGACTTCTGAACTGTCACTGCTGCTGGAGTGGCTGATGGGCACTTTGCTTTTCCCAGCAGAGGGCTGTTTCCTCTGCTTCAACAAAAAAAGAGTTACAACCACAGTGCAGATCAAAACCAGCAGTCCTGTCAAGCCTCCAGTAACAGGTACAATACTGTTTCCAGAGTCCCCGCTTGTGATTTCCAGAACTGGCCTGTGGTGCGGCACGCCAGCTGGGACCATGTCTTTCTGGGTGATGACAGCTTTGTCAGAACGGTCAAGTGCAATATGCTGAATATTCGTGCCCCTGTTTTTATCTGCTCCAATGTCTTGTACGAAGGCCAGGGCATCTGGGTTGGCTCTTCTGCTGCGTTTAAAGGCTGTGGTGCTAACTCTTCCTTTAGCAGAGGACAGCACATGGTGGTAGTCAAGACTTCTTTTGCCATTGTGCCTGCGTGCATTTTCCTTTGATCGGACCGTGTAAATAGTGTGAATGTACCATTCTCGGCCAGCTGCCACCTTAAAGAAAACAAACACACACATAAAATCCCAACAAACCAGAACATCGCCCCATGCACATTTACTATAAACTGGAACACACCGAGCATCAGATTCATCCAGACCGATGTCCCAAGTTTGCTGCCAAATATGTCTAAAGTCAACGGCAGAAAAAGGCACTTGGAGATAGGATTAATCTTTTCTTAATGCAGACTGCTGAAGTAGGTCAGATAAACTATGTTCTATTTCTTTCTAGTGTTAATGCAAAAAGGCTACTGCGTTTACCTAACAAAACACTAGTCTTAATTTAGGCAAGAACCACCCCACTTCAGGAGACCAAAAAAAGCCTTCAGGAATTTGAATTAGTCTGACTTAAAGCAGGATGCATAGTTGTCTTTTTTAATTTCATACCATATACAAACCAACTACCTTTTTTTTTTTCCCCCAGCTGCAAGAAAATAAAGTCTAATTTCTTAGTTTTTTGCTTAGGTAAAAAGGTCCCCATGGTAAGCTAAATCAGTGACTTCTCCCCCCAGTCACAGGTGTACACGTCTGCAGTAATAGCAAGGCTGCAGAAGGGTTATAAGCTCAGTGTTACAAAGCAATGCTGTCATTGTTTCTACACTGTTAGGGAAAGGGAACAAAGTAAATGTGCTGCTGAAGTCTGCCGCTGACTAACATAGTGCCCATGATTACCTGTATGCTCTGTTCTCCACCTCGGTTGTCTTTTCACATGAAAGAATTTCTGTGATATACTTATCGGACAACTTACCTGGAAGAGCGGAGCAGATGACAGGCTGAAACCGTCAGAACCAGGCTGTTTTACTAGAGGAAAAGCGTCTGCATGATCAGCTGCCAATGTAGCATGAAACTCCAGGTTTCCAAAGACTCTTGCTTGCGTCTCAGGTTGAGCTTTATCCTAAAGGAAGTAAGTTTAGTACTTGCAGATTCACATGGAAGTCAGGGATCTAAAAATGCATGCTACCATAACGTACCAGGATCTTGAACCTGTACAAGAGGGAGGGTGAGTCAGCCAGGCATCCGTATTCCTGATTGTCTGGGTTGTACTTGGGCACGTACCCATCGGCACCAGTGCAAAGGAACACCTTCTCGATGTTGCAGCTGAAGGAGTCGCCAAGATTCTGAACTGGATCCACCATCACCCGGCCATAGATTTCAGATCCTAGTAAAGCAGATTAATACATTTTATGTTATACCAGTCAATTTAAAATTACTAAATCAAGTTATTACCAAACCATTGTTGTTAAAAATTCTCAGGACAGGAATTGTCTAGCATTAACTGTATTTCCCTTTGCACATGAAGACAGGATGTTCCACGGCTGTTACTACTAATTTATCATGGGCTTTAGTCTTATTTTCTGTTACAATTTGTACTGCCGTGTGGTTCTTGCAGTGCAGTTCTTTTTTAAGCAAGCTTTTCCCTTCTCTTCACTAGAGGGCAACCCATATTTGCGTATAAGAAACTATCCAACCTGACAGCATTATATCAAGCAAAATAAAGTTCTTAACAGGACATTTGGGTTTCAGACTGATAACTCAAGTAACGGGCCAGTTAAAACCAAAATTATTTTTGGTCCAATACTGCCATTACCAGGAGCTTCCGTGGAACCTGATAACAGCTCCAGTCAGTGAGTACAGTGTGTGAGAGCCTCTGCCCTGGGCCAGAAGGGGGGGGGGGGGATAAAAAAAAAATCAAGAACAAGTCTGAGCAGCTGAAGTTATTATGCATCCAGTCTGCACTTGAAAACAGCTGCACAAGCAAGTCAAGGAGCCTCAGGTGTAGAAGTATTTAATTCCTGCATTTCTGACTAGAATAACCTAATTACTGCAATTACTTAGCCCCCTCAAAATGGGGCAAAAAGTTCTAGTCCGTGCAGCTTCAAAGCAAAACAACCAGAGTGAGGGGAATATGTGATTACACAGTAACTGAGGCAGAGTTTTCAGAACTGCAGTTTCAGATATATGCACCTAAATTCTGCGCCTACCTTTGGAATGCTTTTCCTCTCAGAGCCCATAAACAGAACTAAAGCCTGTTACAACACTAAATTACATCATATTTTAGTGCTTCTGTATTTTACTTTTCTGCAGTGGAAATACATAGACCATGTATGGGTTATAAAACTAGTAAAATACATATTCAGCTCTTGTTAAAAGCGGTTCTGTTTCATCTTTCATAATATGCTGAATGTACAATTGACTTTTTTTACCTTTGGTAAAGGCTACATCAGCTCCTTCTCCAAATCCCATTGATCCATCAGATATCCAAAGCTCCTTTTTGGACAGCAGAAACATTTGAGTACTTAGACTGAACTCTGCTGCCACAGGGTCACTGACCTGTGGGGGAAAAGTGAAATTAAATGATCAGAAAAACACCTTGGATGTAGCTTTACAATGGTCATTGTACACCATTGCCATAGTAGCAATGTGCTGATAAAACCCTTCAGCAGTGCACAGCATTTATAAGAATTCCTCCTACATACGTACATAAACCTCCTGTTGTGCTTCTCATCACAACCCATCAAAATACACAATTGTAGTGCTTTATTTCAACGTTGCCAAGTAAAACGGCAAAAGATATCTGTTGCCTCAGATACAGGACAGCAATGTGACACTTGCAAAAGTTACTGGGAGAACAGGGCTGTGGGTAAGAGGCCAATAAAACTAGATCAGGACCAGAACCTAGCTCAACACCAACTCATCTCCCCTACTCTAAACAACAATCCGCATTCCCAAACCAAGGAGCACAGGATGGGAAACCTCATCTGCCCCTACTGAGCCCCGGCTGCACTGGGCATGTTCCACTCGTGACCTAGAAGCCGCCTGCAATTTGTCCAGAAAAGTAACCTGGCCCGATAGCCCCTGCCTGGAGACAACGCAGGAGCTGCCCTGCAAGTAGGTTAATTCCTCTGGTGCAAGGGTAGGTTGCTCCCAGCCCACCACGTTTCTGCCTTCCCCACCACAAACACCTCGCGGCTGCAGGAGCCCAACTGAGCCCGGCACATTTGGGTGGAGGAAGCCGGCGCTGGGCCACGGGTCCGTGCCTGCCCTGTGGCTCCGGCACTCTGGAGCGCTGCGAGACCCACCACGTGCGTCACGGCAGGGAGGTGCAGAGGGGAGCAGAAGGCAAACGGCCCTCCCACACAGAAACAAGGTAAAGAACCAAAGTGTCTCATGGCACTGTTTGACCTTGTTGACCACAATGAACCCAGCATCTAGGGGTAACAGTCATAAGGTGGTGATTATATACACAAAAGTGCAAAATTAACTTAATATGCAAATGCCACCGCAACTCTGGTTATTTCCTTCCTCATCAAACCATTTTCCTGTGTAGCATTCGTGTCCTGCGTTACAAGGTGTCAGCAGGAAGACTACTGCTGAAGTAGTATCCTTCAATTAAATTCAACACCAATTGTTTGAGCAAACAAGACGGAGACATTCAGTTAATTTGCATGTAATACAGCTGTCTCCAGACTTACCACGCATGCCACACAACTGGATAACGAAGCAGAAGGCTAAAGAGCAGTTCTAATGGTCAAAAGGGCTGAATGGCTCTGACTGACACTGACAGGGCCTCTGAGGTATCCAGTACTTTTGCCGGAGGTGGGCAGGAAATCAGGTCAATTTTTTAGGTATTGACTGAAGGATGTAATGTTATACTAAGAGGTTTTTAAAAGTTTGGTATGTTCACTGGAAGTTTAGTCTCAGATTCAGAGCCCTTGCTCTCCAAATGCTATTCAAGTCATTCCTCAAGCTAACTGCAACAGAAAACCTGGTCTTTCTAACAGTCTACAATAGTAAGTTACTGCTACTTGAGACACTGCTTTTTTTTTTTTTTTTCCCTTTAATATATACAGGAAAATTGTCAGAAAGCCATACTAACTCGGAAAGAAGTGTTTCCCACTGCTTGAGAAAAAGACCCTCTTGATACAAGATCCCCAATGTAAATTCTATTACATTGAATCTCAGTTTTAAAAATCAACCTCAGGACCACAAGTTATTCTTGAAAACAATCCTGCTTAGAACTGAAATGTTTTTCCCCTTCAGCCCCTGCCTCCTGAAAAAAAACAGCAAAGTACTTGGGAATAGTCTGGACGATGAGGTAAATAAATGGAAAAATAAGATTTTAATTACTGGAAAAAAATTAATTGAGTCTGATTTTATCTCACCTGGGAAGATGAGTCCTAGAGCAATCTACAAGCACTGTAAAACTCCTCCCGAAGCCATCTGAAATACTCCATGATTTTCTCTTGACAACTGGTACTAGATGGGCTATGCCAAAACATCTCTTTCAGTGGTTACAGAACAGCTGCCTTTGAGCCTAAATTTGCTTTTGGCTGGTTTTGCCCATGAGGCTTCACAGAAAAATGTGTAAGTCCTAAGGAAGATGGTGTACCTGTTGGAACCTGATGTCCATATCAAACACAATAGGGTCCCGTGGGTTGCAGATGACAGGAAGGGCATATTGCTGACCAGGCGCAGCAGTGCAAGGGATGAATTTCACAGTGTAAGTACCTGAGTAATCTCGCACCTGCAAAAAGATTAGAGAAATGGGCGTTTCTCCAGCCTCTGAACAATCACTTTTTCAGCTCACATTGCCCCTGAGGTGAAGCTGAATTCCCAGCAGCATCCTAAACACTTTCACAAACTTGGACATTGCCACTTACGATCAGGGTGCTTTACCTCACGCACTAACACCGTCAGCGCGCTTCAGTGGCACAGGCAAAGCACTGACACGTGCTGTCTGTCCTGTACTTGTCTGTAAATGAGGACTAATACAGAATACCTACTATGAGGCCTTTGAGTGACTGGCCTTGCCACGGTGGTGGTGGGAATCAAACATGTCAGTGTCCAAATCTAACATACTAAGTCTCTCTGAAAATATGATTTTGGCTGGATTTTTAGTGAATGCAAACGGCTCCTTTCCTGCCAGCTCAGCAAGAGCTGAGTAACTGGGCTGTGTGCCTCTCACAGAAGCAAGACACTTTTAAGCAAGCCTTTTCTGCCCTATTAGAGGCACAGGCTTTGGGGCCACAGTAGCTCCCACTGACTCCTGAGCTCAGCAGGAGCTAAGCAGCTTTGCCACATGTTGGGAAAAATCCAGATTCTTGTAACAGCAGCAGCAACTCCTGGATCACTGTTTCCTGGCAATGCCAAGGGAAATAACATTAAGGCAAATTCTTCAAGAGAGGCCACAGCTCCAGCACTGGCCTGCTCAGTGAATGGCACCAGCTAGTGCTAGCAGGAGCACAGATTCAGGCCTCTGGACTCAAACTCCGGGGACACCAGGACTTCTGACTGGTCATTTTGTAATGAAAATACGTGACTGCATCCAAATGAGTTGATGCTTACTGATCTTATAGTGCTGACAACTGCATGGGAAGTATGTTAGAAACTGACATTCCCTTTGCTGCCCTAAATTCAAGTGTGAATGCAAACTCACAGCAAAGTCGGAGATAAAACTCCACTGCTGCACAGGCTGGTGGAAGGTTGGCTCACTTCGTAACAGACTGAGTGTAAACGTGAGGCCAGGGTGGTCAGCAGACATCACCATTGACGCCAGAGATGTTCCTGAAAGAATAAAAGGCAAATTATAATTTGCCATAATTAATACTGATGCCTGGAAAGGTTTAAAATCAGCACACAAAAGCAAAGAAGCAAGAGAATGGAAAGAAATCAACTGACACCCCAGAAAAGGAAGTGCCTTGGTTACTTATTCCCCTCCTACGCTGAGACGGAACCTTTACTGTGATACCTTTCTCCTCTGCCAGGCAGACAGCACTACAGAGACTCTGGCTAGCAGAGGCGGACAGGCTGGGTACACACCTGGGTGGGACACCACCAGCTGGCCCCAGAAACGAATCTCTGTTCGGAAGTTCACCACTAGTCGCCCTTCGTCATTGATCCGCATATTCGTGGGATAGAGGGAGCCTAGGGAGGAAAAAGCCAATGATTTTACCACCAGCATTTCCTGAGCGCATTTTTGAAGGGAGGCTCTTCATATTTTTTCTGCGTCTGGAGATCTGAAACACTTTACCTAAACCCTGGTGCTCTTCACAGATATTAAACCCTCTCGCATTGATTGTTTTGAGACAGATCTCCAAACCCACCAACTTCAGAAGAAATGCACTCATTTACACCTGCTAATGGTTCAGTTCATTAAGGCAGGTTTGGGTTTTTTTCTCCCTTTTGCTGACATAAGACCAGACTCACCTGAAGTATATCCACATATGCTGACATAACAGAGTGCAGGCAGGAAAAAGAAGGGGTCTGGGACTTTTTGTCACACAGACACCAAGGCTGCTCACTCCAGTAAGGTCCCTTTTGCAGGCACTTCCCCGGCACAGGGCCAGGTAAGTGCCTTCGTCACCCTGTAACTGTGTACCAATTCAGCACTGGAGTCTTTCTCTCCATAAGAATGTCTGCTTTACAGCTGGTCTGTGCATTAGTTGATCTCATTTTTTACAGATTAAAAGCATCATGCAATTGAGGGAAGATTCAAAACATCTAGTTTAGTAACATATGGCATTAAAAACCAAACAACTGTCCTTTGGGTGTGTGTTTTAACTGAGGGAATCAGCATGCTGTTACTGCTTTTGAGATTCTGAAGGCTAAAAAGCATCGAGTTATTGACCACACATCTCCCATCACAAGAATGTTGAATAGGATGGAGTTTAGAAATGGCGGCATCCGAAACGGCTCACCTTGGAGCTCTGATTCAGGAGGGCTGCCTATCCCATCTTTCCACAGGATAGCCGTGTCGTACACAAAGGTAAGCCTCAGTTCAGACCGCAAATCAAAATGTTGCCAGCCACCAGTGGCAGCAGGGGAGTGGAAGACATAGGAGACATAGAGAGGCACCCGCAGAGTTACGTACGACTGCACCAGATTTAAGACCTGAAAAACATTGAGGTACCAGGTTACTGCATGCAACCTGAAAAAAATTACTTTCACTGCCAACCTTGCATTCTCAGGAACTGCACTCTTTAAACCTAAGCAAAAAAAATTGCACAGAAAAATTTTTCATCTGTTACTGACATCACTATTATTTCAGGTGCTGCAAACCACCTCACTTGATAGTGTCCCTACGTCTTTGCCAAATTAATGCAATGGGGTTCATACCTCTCCAAAACAAGGACTATCTAAGATTTTGTTTTACTTTGGAATTAAAAAAAAAAAAAAGAAGAAAAAAGGGCAAAAAAAAGCCTTCAAAACAAACTCCATAGAAATTGAAGGTGGCCTAAATTAAAATTCCAGATCAGCACAACCAGATTCCTTAGGCATTCAGAAATCAAACACAAATTTAGAAATTAGTCCTATAAATAACACCTACCTTTACAATGGATTGAACTCTATAGATTATGGCACCCTGAAACAGTGCAATTTAAAACTATGGCCTGAGTTATGGAGGTGTCTCTACCAAGCAACCAACAAGCAACCAGAATGGGCAGCCAAGCAGACAATAGTACATAAATCTTCTTTGGCCACTGAGCATCAGTTGAGCACCTATGGAATGGGAAAGCATCAAGCTGCTGAGCCAAGGCTGATTCAAGGTGGAGTCAGCACAGAGGCTCTACAGCCCCCTAGAATCTCCTCTAATTTTAGTGCAATTGCTGTAGGGCGCTTGTGCATTGGGTTATTTTCCAAGTAAATGCAAAATCACTTTTTGGGTAAACTTTTTTTGTTTGTTTCTTATCAACCAAGCTTCTATTTATAAAATCTCACCTACCTAACAGCTCTGCCTAAAGCCTGAATGATCTAAGCCTAAATTAGAGTGTCTAATTAAACATGTTTTGGGTTGTTTGTTTTTTTTTTTTTTATAAAAAAGCATTTTTTTCTATAACCTTAGAACACACTTCCAGGGTTAATAACATACTTTACACATACAGCTTACTTCTGTAAGGCAATAAAATTGTAGCCTCTCCTTTGAACATGCTGCTACACAGGCTTTGGGCAATAGCACAAGGATGTACACAGTTTGGATAAGCTCTTTGAGTCAAAAAAGCAGTTTCTAAAATCCAGACTAGGGGCAACAGCAATGCAGTAAGCTGTGCTCAGTTACCAGGAAGATGAATCGTGGCTGTACACAGAAATACAGTGCAAAGGAACAAATCTGTACTTATAAAAACACCTGTGCTAAGGGAACACATATCAAACTACCTGCATAGCAACTAAATCCTTTCTCATGCAATCCTTAGTAACACTTTCTGTTGGACTTGTGCTTCCAAAGCCTCCTCCTGTTGAGAGAGGAAGGTGCTTCAGTGCCACATACCTGCCCATCTGTGCCAATGGAGCCACTGCAGTCCATCAGCAGCTCAGACATATCGTAGTAACTGCTGAACTCCCAAAGGCAAGCCTCAAGGTTGAGGTTCTGGTAGAAACGCAAGGTTTTGGCGGACCGCAGAGCACTGCTGTACTGGTAAGGTGATGTTTCTCCAATTGCTCTGGCGTTCTTAGTTTCCTCTGTAATAAAGCCATGTTTGGTCTGGATCTCATTATAGTCCAGTAGGTTGGAGCACTTGTGGTGTCCCACACGAGTGCCGTCTGGACTAAGCGTTAGCTCAAAGTTGGATAAGGGGCGCGTGGAGATAACCGGCAGCATTCCTAAAACAGAAATGTCACATGACTCATTAACAGCCTGAATGGAAAAGAGCAAATGAAGTATTCGTTAACTGTTTGTGAACATATTTTTAAAGCTGAAGTCAGAAACATAGGAGCCAAGGATGCCCAATGTTTCATCCATACATTAACTTTGCAATTGGCAAGTTGTTCATTAAACATGGATTATTCATGGTTTTGCCACAACACAGCAAACAACTGTGGAGACCAACCTGTGGAAGCGGAAATGTCCAAGGCAGCATGTGTTAATTAAGTGGTTACTCTCACCACTTGATGCTTACCATCCATATGGGGCATTGTGACTGTTAGTCGGATCAGATTGGGATGGTCAGGATCATCTGGACCCGTGTAGCGAATTTTAGCTGAGAAAGGTTCTGCTCCTACTGTTCCTGGGATGCGAGGTTGGCAAAGACCTGAGCAAACGGGAAGGACAGGTTGTGAAATGCCTGCTGAACTGTGTCATATCTGTGTTAAGCGGCTTGGAGATGTCTGTCCATAGAGCTAGGTCAGAAAAATGCAGTAACATCGACACGCTGATTAGGGAGTTCCTGACAGCTCTTCCTATGCTGCCTGGTCTAACTCCTAGGGCGAAGAGGTCCTTTTCCAGAGAGGCAAGGGCAGAAGTATGGAAACCCTTCTATGCCCAGCAGCAGCTGAAGAACCTGACCTCTTCCTTCCATGGATTTGTTCTTCCTCCCTAGAAATGGGGAGATGGCCACTTTACATCAGCATTTACCTTGGCAGCCATCACTTACTGAGGTGAAGGGCAGGGTGGTTCACAACCACACCTGAGCTCTTGCCACAAAAAAACAGGCTGCCTGAGGGGAGCCGACATCTTGCAGACAACAGCTAAATAAAATACATAGGGGCAGTCTGTGTAGTTCTGCGGGGTCCACCACTTACACTGGAGAGAGATTTCAGGTTCTTTCTTTTTCTGTGTCTGACTGAGGCAAAGATAATTTCTGATTAAATTACACAAAGAACTGGCACTTTAGGAGCATAGCGGTAAATCCACAGAGGACCTATGGTGCATAATGGCCACTTTAGACCTATAAATCTAACAGGAGCCCCAGGGAACCTTGGAAACCTCAGAGGCTACTGCCTAACTTGCTAACAATTGAAAGTCTCAAGGGAGCTACTTTTCAGCCACTGGGCATGACCACAACTGCCTAAAATCTTGACGGATTTCAGTCCGGATTACATGCCCCAAAGCTTCCCTTCCTTCCCCCAACTTGCGACCTTAACAAAAGAATACTGCTTCTATCCACAAGCCTTGTCTTGTCTTGATGACAAGCCACTGCCACTACAACAGGACCATCACTAATATCATGGTAACACAAAACTTTTTCAGTTCTTCCCACATAGGTCAATCCTACCCAGGGGTTTTGCACTGCAGCTAGAGGAGATGGAGGTGAAGGACTCTGCATAGCAGAGATGTAGCAGGGGGACTGAACTGCACAAAACAGCTGAGGAAGCACAGCATGATCCACTTGCATAGTTGGTGAGCTGACTAAAATGACAACATTTTAGTCTAAAGAGGCAAAGAGTCACCCCCTAGCACCCAACATTATGGCCCTGTGAATCCCGAGATGCAGTAAAGTCAGGCTTCTGCTTTAATTTGGGCAGAATAGGACTTTGAAGTAACTCCCAAGTAACTGGTCTAGTCACTAACTGATTGAGCAAAAAGATGCATTTTCCTCATCTGAATTTCTGGAAAAAAGCAATAGATTAGGCGTACACATCCTAGATACAGATCACAGTTAAGAAACCTGAGGGATGTAGGCTAAACCCAGAATTAGGATATCCCCTTGCCTTCTCAGCCATAGCGTAAGTTCTCAGCAAAGTTATGCATGCAGTGCTGCAATATCTGAATTTCCACATGGATTTCATGCCCCCACCCTTTTCCAGCACCTGTATTTTAACTGTCTTTAGTCTGCAGGCCTTTAGACAATATCAAATTCAATACAACTACAAACTGCTCTCAGTGTCAGTAGCTGTGTTGTTTAAACTAAAAACACATGGAAATAGAGGTGTATTTGAAATATATATATTGAGAAAAGCAAAGGACCCAAGACTGGGGAAGTCAAATTCTGCTTTAGTCACTAGTCAAATTAGGTGTAAAAAATAATCATCACCATAAACCCACCAATCACTTACATATGACATACGATGGGAGCAAACTCATGAAATATCAGAGCTGATGAGACGATTACAAGGTGATTTTGCCTTTCACTAGCAACAGTCCCATATGCGTATGAGAAAAAATTAACTAACGTACGAGCACTAATGCCCTAAAACAAAACAATCCATAGCAGACCTCCTTCAGCTGCTAAAACTACCTCATCTTTTCCCAAGAAAGGCTACCTAATTCCCATCATTAAAAACTTACCTTCCTCTCTGTTTACTGTATAAATTGGACTTAGCAGCTCCAGACCTGCATCACCATTGGCATTCACAGCTCGAGCTGCACACTGAAGCCTGGAGCCTGCCTGGAAGTATATAGAGTCCAGGGAGATGGATTTGGTGCTGGTAAAAAAAGTGTTGGAGTCCACTTCCCTCATGGGGCTGGTGACACCATCTCTCCCACTTGGAGCACTGACAAGCCAGCGGTACAGGGTCAGAGTATCATTGATGTTTTCTGTGGCGCAGATGGATCCGGTTTTGTCGTAGTCAGAGTACTTGGGATTGCATGCCTATGGGTTGCCATTTACACAAAATAAAGGGGGTTATCTATTCTTACCTACACCCGCACCAAGCAAGCAAATTGTTAAGCATTATTCTAACAGTACCGTGCTTATTACTGTATCAGCAAAATAAGACCTTCCCGTAGGCACACTATTTTCCCCTTAATTGAGGGGATATGAACGAATGCCATGGGGCTTTTTTAATTGAATTGAAAACAAGAACAAACAATCAAAAAACTAAACCCCAGACAGTAGTGAGTTGCTGTTATGATTCATGTGTCACCTCTGACCATGCAGACCTGGAAAATGCTAGGGCTAACTCCAAAAACTGAACTCTTATCTGACAACTGCAAAGTCAGTTCTCCCAAATTCAGACACACTAGCTTGAAAAATCCCAGCATGAAACCACTCTAATAAATGAGAAACTGTTAGAAACATAAAATGAATGGCCTGAATTCATACATCCCTGGCAAAGAGCTGCGAAGTTACAAGTGCACCTTTCCCAGCAGTCTGTTGCTGCTCCCCCACAACAGAACCAAGCAGGAATGAAGATGCATGTGTGCCTTTTGCTAGTGCAAAATTCAGCTGCTTTCCCGCCCCCCTCAAAATCATCCTTGATCAACAGCTTAAAACACCTGACTTCACACAGCAGCAGCAGGCACACAAGTACGTGTCCCTCTGCCAACTCTGTCTGGGAGAGCAGCCTCCTGCAGATGGGGCAGATGGCTGATACCAGAGGCTGTTCAGTCAACTTTGGTAAAATCTGCTGCTCAGCTGCTCACGGCACAGCTCTGCTCACAAAGCCCAGGATACAGTTTCTGGAAAGCTCTGTATGGCCCAGGCACGGCCCTTGTTTGGGCAGCACTTAGCTCCTCCTCACCTTCTTGCCTGCTCGGCTTTTGGTTTAGAAATCTCTATTCTTCTGGCTCTAATTCAATGTGTCCAAGTCATCCCCTGGAACTGGTTATTAGTTTGACAGCACAGTCCAGTACCAAAGACCTATTTAGATCAGCAAGAAACACTGCAGAAACAGCTGTCACAGGTTAGGGGCATTAGCGACCCTCTCTTGGAAGCTTGCCTTCTGAGTTATGTTAGCAGAAAGACTTAAGCAAGTGCCTCTAACGCAGCAACAGCCTGTCTTGCCAACAGCTTTTAGTTATCATTTTCCAGAATTGAATACTTTTTCAATTTTCTTACATGCTCCAGAGCACAGAATGAGTAAGTTGGACAAAAGCATGTAGAAACAAGCCTTACCGTTACACAGACAACAGGATAGCCGGTTGGAGGGTGTGGATTCTCTTTGCTTTTAGCAGTATCGTCATATATCAGAAGTGAGACAACCTGGGGCACAGCTGGAAACGTCACATCTGCAATGCTGTCCATTTCTTCAATGTACACAATGGCTTTATTCATCTGAGTTGAGAGAGAGAAAAGGTTATATATACTGCCGAAAATAAGGAACAGAGGGAGGAGAAGTAGTGCTTGTGACTTAATTTCTGCCACCAACCTCACTATGGTTTTACCCAGGATTCTTTGATAAAATGGTGACTTGTATTAAGGAAGACTCACTACTCAGTGGTTTTTACAGGTTTTCCACTTAAACCCTGTTCACCAGCAACTAGCTAAAAATTAAGGAAGAATTAATTCCCCAAACGTTAGGAAAAGGGAAATAAAAATACTCCAACTTTTCTTTAAAAAATTAGCCTTGGCAAACAGTCAAACACACACCCAGTTGCTCACTAACTCCCCATCTTCAGCATGGCAGGAGGAGGAAATAGGATAAGAAAGCTCATGGGTCCAGCTAAAGACAGGGAGATTACTTACCAGTTACTCTAATGGGCAAAACACACTCAGCTTGGGGAAAATTCATTTAATTTATTGCCAATTAGAGTAGATTTGGGTAGTAAGAAACAAAGGCAAACATTAAGACACCACCTTTCCTCCTCATTTTCCCATGCTCAACTTCACTCCTGAGTCATCTACCCCCCAAAACCTTGCCACAAATATAAAATACAAAAACAAACCCCATAACTCTCCTGAACTAATTCCAGAGACCAGCTTCAGCCTACACATCAATTTGATCTCACTTGACAGCCAGTTTAGGTTTTTACCAACTTAAGTATAAAGACTGCATGTTAATTTTAGAGCCTCTGTTTTTAAAATAGTGGCCTACAAATTTATCAAGGTATGGTATACATGATGTAATGGATCCCAGGGCCATAGTTTCTCTGCATGTAGTAATTTACTGTATATAGTACTGAAGTAAGAAGTTGCTAGTGTTTGAGTCAAATTAGATCTTAAATATAGCCCCAAATGGCAGGCAGTGCTCTTCAGAACTGTAGTAGCTCTAACACTTGCTGTGCTCTCCTCCTCTTCACCAAAATAAAGAAATGGAAGACGAATCTATGCCCATCTGTCCCCATTGGTGCCCTCCTCCCTGCCCACAGACTTCCTACTGTGGGAATGGGTGAGAAGGCCTCACGGAGCCATACTTGACCCCATGAAGTGATGCAGAGCACTGATCAGAGCACCATGGCATGGCTGCAGCTGCTGCTGCTGCCACATCTCTCCACACATGTTTAGAGAGGGACCAACACAGTCTCTCCATTGTACTGGGTCTGGTAGCAGCCAGAGACACTATTAATACAAAAAACCCCTGCCAATCACAGCTTCTTGCTTTCTTTTTTATATTTTTAAGTATTTTGATACTTTTCACCATCTGTAATGGGAAAAGTCAGAACAGGCTTCTACAAGACAGTTAGTGCACTATACTTTCCTAAGATGCCAAACTCTCTGTGAAGCATATAGTGGGTCACACATAAAATTTGTAATTCAACGCTTCTAGACTTTGTTCCAAGCGTGTGGATTTACAGCTAATTTATACCAGTATTTAGACAGCTATGCACCAAACTAACCACAGGAGCATATGAATACCAGGCTCTCATGCATGCTGTGAGTACAAGGTTTTTTAGATGTTTCTATATGAATAAAAACAAAAAAATATCATTACAAATGGCAACTTTTGTTGCCAACAGTGGTTACCTGTGTCTCTGCTACCATGTTCTCATCAGCTTTCAGGTGGACAGTAAACGCTTCTCTCATTTCCTTTATGCCATCATACAGAATCTCTACTTCAACAAAATGCTCAGTTTCTCCTTCTTTGAATGCAATATCTGATTTTAAAAAAACCTACAAATTAATGCAAAATCAAGAGCCAAACAATTGTTTTCTTTGCCAATTGCATTCAAGTAATGTATTCTGTTGCAATAACATGGTTTTGCTCTAAGTAAAATGTAGTAGGAGAATGAGCTGTTAGTATCTGTTCTTCAGCACAATGACCAAGTAAAACTAACCCACTTTTGCTGGACAGAAAAAATAAATAGAAGTTGATATTGCTAACTTGTTGGAAGACTTAAAATAACATCAAAACATAATATCCTGATATGATTTTGTGCCAAGCCAACTAGCTTTCTTCCAAACAATTCCTGGACACAGTTCAGAATTAGTGTGGGCCAGGGAGGCAGTTTGCATGCAGATATCCTGCTTCGGCATCAAAGTTCAACAGAGTGGGTCTGCATGCTTCAGTGGCAAAGAAAGTTCAACAAAATGGGCCTGCATGCCAAGGAATGGTCCCAGGTACATTATTATACCAGTATGGACACTGCCTCAGGCTCCGTTTGCAGTGCATATTTATGCAGGATCCAAAACACTTGCACTTTGAGCTGAAAAATCAACATACTTGGCATTAGCTCTTTAGGAGACAAGTTCATCTACATGAAATCCCAGGACAAGAACAGTCTATTAGAAACAGGCATCTGTGGTCCTTCCTCCAGAAACCAAGTGGGGATTGTTATTTCTTGCTAAAAGTCAGGAGGAAGTGGTACACATTTTTCTGTCACCAGCCCAGTCAGTAGCATGAATACTCAAGAGAGACCTTATTCGTTCATTTTACTTTAATTGTATTCAAGGTCATACCTCCCCAGGAGACACGATAGTAAAGTTACTCCCCTAGGGAGTCTGCATAACCAGCAGGCTATAAAACTGTTCCTGTGAGGGTGACACTCCATCAAAACCATGTCACTACAAGGAAAGCAAATAGAAATGCAGTAGGTCACAGAAAGAGAATATGGGTATGTAACCTTGAGGTTTGGACTCTTTCCTGGGAGACGGGACTTGGGTGCCGGCTCCCAGGAGTGGGCTTTTCTATGAAAAGCATCCCTGTCTATCATAACAATATCCCAATCCTCTGCCAGCTCAGGGGACCTGAAGGCAAAACTCAAGAACCAAATACTGCTCAAACATGTGTCAGATACATGACAGCCTGAACTAGGCTGAACTTTCATTCTTATGAAGAAGTCCTGAGTTTGCATTTCAGGTTAGGAAATTCAAAGTAGCCCAGAGCAAACAGGATCTCACATCCAATTCAATGCTAATACAGTCCCTCACAGGTCCCACAATTAACTCAGATTAAAACAAAAATAGACAACACTCAAATCTCCTATTCCAAATACACGAAGTGAAGTAGGAACTCTTAGTCTAAAGTACAGAACTTGCCATTTGGTTATCAAAACAAGAATTCAGCTCCTGTCCAGCATTCATTTGCAGGAAGGCACTTTCCAAACTAATGTTTCTCACCCCCACACCCAACGAAGCACCCTTACCTTCTGACATTGGATTGTAGTCTTCCCCTGAGGTGGCTGAGCCATCCTTTGTGTGCACTCTGACAACAGATACTTTGGAGCTATCGCCAAGGCGTAGAACATGGATTCTTACTAGTGCAGTTTCTCCAGGTTCCTGAGGCTCCTGAACACTGTGTTTTACTTCAGAGAATTTAATCACTGGTTCTAGGCGAGAAAAAAAAAACAAAACACAACAAAAACCTGAACATAAAAAAAAATAATAATTTACTCATGTCAACTAGACCAAGTGCAAATACCTTATCTGAGAGTGGATGGTCCAAAGGAAATGAGAAGGTCATAACAAACCTGAAAATTAAAAGTCATTGTCTGGCGATTAATTTATTTGGTTTATTGATTGCTGTGTGAAATATTTTGGAAACTGGAATTCAGATTTGTAGCTATGATTAAAAGGAGAACAACTGGTCCCCTAGTGTTTGCTTTAGTGGAGTCTAGACTGGAATATTTAGAGATGAAGTATGTTTAGCTTTTGAAGAAAGCAGTTACTTTTATAATTTAATTATTCTAATTGATTTGACAAAGGTATGGGATAAATCTGATTTTCTTAAATTACTCTCTATGACTTGTAAGGAGTCCATTTTACAGCATTATCAATTATACTATGGGTTTTTTGTTTGGTTGGGGGTTTGTTTTGGTTTTTTTACACATCATTTGACATTTTCAGATGCATAATCTGTACAATCTGTACATAAAAGTCCCTATTATATTCCTGAAAGTTCTGTGAATTTGACCCAAGGTATCCATGATTCTTTCAACTTAGTCAATTTTATGACACTCTTATCAAAGCAACACATATAGAGCAATAAATGGAATGGAAATAAACACGAGAATTTATCTTCCCATTATCTCACAAAAGGCAGAGCCAGTGATGCATTCAGAATAGATTAAAAAGGTGCAAATTCAAAACATAAAAATAAAGGACTTGACAGATTTTTTAAAAACTTGGTACTGGGTACTTTGAAAACCATTGAAGAAACACTGAATGGAATTAGTCCCACTTTGTCATTTGCAGCTACATATATAATCAACAATTAACACAAAACTCACTGTCTTCTTCATCCTTAATCTTGATCACAGTCTCTTTCTGATCTCCAATGGAAGCACCAAAAGTAGAATTACTTTTTGGTGATCCAAGCACCAATCTGAATTCCTCCTCCTCTTCATAAATTACATCATTCTCCAGAGTTACAATACAGGGCTTCTCAGTTTCTCCTGAAGGAAGGTATGAACAAGACATTATCTTCACAGGAGCACAAAAGACCAGGATAAAACCAAAACCAAACCCCCATACATTTTCAGGCTTGCCATAGAACAGACAGTCTCAAGAACATGGAAGCAGAGACAAGCACTGACTGGTACACTTAATTTTTTTGTTGTGAGTCAATCTCTGCTAAGGAAAAATCCCATGACTCTCCCACAATGGGAACTAAGCAGCAACCCGTGGACCATTCAGCAGGGTGTTGTATGGCAAAGAATCTGCTGCTCTCATTCTCCTCTGCTGAAGGCACTGTATCAGTATTATTCCTGTTTATTCTCATGAACAAGTGCTATGTTCAAAAGCGTAGCAGAGGATGTTCAATATTACTGAATTCTTTATTGGCCAACTTTGGCCATAAAAACCTTTGAAAGTGCTGCTGTCATAGTCACAAAACTATTTGTTAAATAGTCCTGTGCCACCTTCTTCATCCACAGAAGCTCAACTGGCATAACAACTCCCAGAATGTCCTGGAGGTCTAGCTCTTATTTACCATCAGATTACCTGTCAGACAAAAGTAACACATTATTTTCAAATTCCAACGGGAAAAGCTTACCTGGGAGAAATACCACTATAGAATCATCTGTATTTGGCCTCTCCTTGTAGTCCATCATAACTTGGGCAGAACCCTGGCGAGTATAGCAACGCACTGTGGATTTATGGTTAATGTCACCGCTTCGATAAATGAGGGCCAACAGCTGTTCATCTTTTTCATTTGCCATGTACATTGGTTCTTTGAACTGGACTTTGGGTACTGACAACAGAACATGTTACACAAGTTGAAAAGGACCCTCACACACGGGCAGCAAATATTAACCATGTTCCTCGATTAAAAAAAAAAAAAAAAAGTAGTAGTTTTCTTTAACTTAGCATTTTATTTGTTAACTTTTTACAACAATCTGAATAAGGTTCAGATTTACACATGCTTTTTAAACAAGGATTTTGAATGTAGAAGAATTCAAATACTTTCCTGGTCTACAGCAACTAATTTCCGACTTAGTACTAATTCTGTCACAAGTCTTCTCACAGTAGCTAGGACTCTTAAAAACAGCATTTGAGCCATTTCTGAGCTGTGAGATTATTTTCTATAAAGCAGTCTCTTTTACCTTTGATGCAGAGAGGAAGTAGGTGCACATACCACAAGGCCAAAAAGGGGTGGTGACCACAATTCTATCTCCACTGAAGTCCGTATCATACTTTGCACTGACTTCAACAAGTATTTCACAGTGAAACTGTAACTGCTCTTCTGAGTTCTGTTTGAGAACGAGCTTTCTAAAACAATATAGCTTCTTTAAGTCTTTGAAGTGCAGTGAATTTGTAGAAACCTGCGACTGCTGAGAGTCAGCTTGGTTTATTTACCAAGTGCTGGAGAACCTCTAAATGGTGCTGTGTTGAGTGTTGTTTGCTTTTAAAGTTTTACACCTACCTTTTTTCCCTCCCTTAATGCCCCCCTAGTAGAGACAATACACTTACAGCTTCATGCAGTAGCTTAAGCATAAATATCTGCATAATTACTTGAAAAACTTAGCTCTCCACAATTTTTGGTGTTCAAATAACTACTAGGAAAAAAAAGTTTATTCCCTATGGGTTCTCTACCTTCAAGATGAATATTCATTCAAACAAATCGCCTTAATACACCAGGCATAAATAAATGTACTTTTAGCTCATGGCACAGTTCCACTATTATATTAATTTGTCCAAAACAGTATCTTCAAGTACACAATGAGATGGAAGACAAGCCAGAGTAAAGAACCTGCACTATAGCCCTATGTTCCAACTTCAGGTGTAGCACACAGCTGTTAATCTTTATAACGTAGTTGGGGTAAATGATATATCACAGCACTTACACCCACAGTAATTTATGCTACTGCCAAAAGAGCTCTTCCACCTTCTAAGTGCACTTAAAACACTAGAAGAAAAAACCCTTGATAAAAATCTCCCCTGCCCTCTTTATGCTTACAGTCAGTGATGGTGTCATTGATAAAGATAGTAGTTTTGCTAGGCTCTCCAAGAGCTGCATTCACCGGCATGCAAAGAACTAGTTCAAACTTCTCCGGACCTTCCAGAATAGGCTGGCCCAAATCATCAAGGATGATCGCTCGAAACACTTGCATGTTGACTCCTGGTGTAAAATCCAGATTATGGCTGATGCCCACATAATCAACTCCAGCTGTTTGGGAAGCAACAACACTTGTACAGTCAGTTACTACTATATGTTAACATTCACCTGTACATTTGTGAAACATGTTTGCGGCTGTTTCTATTGCTGCCCTGGAGAAAATTTAATTTAGATTTTTGTCACATGCAAATAAATTTGGGAACAATGAACATACACTGCAACACACACACACAAATACATATCTGGATCATCATTTACTCTTTATGCCATCAGCACAATTAAAACTTGTTTAAGATCCCTTAAACTGCAAAGTAACAGGCTACAGCCTCAACAACACGCAACAGACCTGATGATCACAGCAATTTAACCCTTTTGCTCCACTCTAGACTACAAACATGAGGTTTTACTTAGCTACTTACCTTTAAAAGACCAGAAGTCTGTCCCAGAGTAATTCCAGCTGATACCCTAAGAAAAAGTGTCTTGCACTAGGCTAGATGACTGAGCTTGAAAATTATGCTGTTACCACTGTCTCATCACTAAAAGAAGCAGGCAGCTTGAGTGCAGGTGAAAACGCCTAGAATGACTTTTTTTTTGGTGTGTATGAGACTATTAAATCTAGACTGGAAGTTGTATAATGACTTCATGCCTTCCTTTCGTTTGTGTCCCATTGTTTCACTGAGATTCTGACTATTTCCGTAATTTTTCATTCTTTTTAACCAGAGTGTTCCTCCCTATCCCCTTTTAAACATTCTACTTGCTGTTTGTAATGACAGCAATTCTTTCCCTTCTTTGTCACAGTATGTTGCAATTTACATACTTAGCAGCAACTGTGCCTTTTTCTTTTACATGTCATTTTGCAGCCTCTGGATTAGAGACAAGAAACACTTACCTGCATAAAAGCTGACCTCCCTGGTCAGCTCTGTACGTTATGAAGAACCACAATTCTTGCACAGGTTTTGTTCTTTCCTTAATCAAACATTGTGTGCATAGGCATTTCATATGCAACAGTATTAGTATTTTTTTTGTGTGCAAAAGTCTATAAATACTTGAAATTAGGAAAAGATTGAGTGAAAAGGATAGTTTTTCCAAATCTTGTAATTAGACTTTAACAGAATACAATATTAGAAATGCAAGATTAGTTTGCTACTTTATATACAACACAAAAATCCTGTAGGACCCAATCATAATTCTTCACCTAAAAAGTGAGTCTTCACATATTAATCACATACATTGTCTATTTTGCTAACTAATTCTCTGTTCTTCATTAACTGTAGTCAAATTCTATTTTCATATATGTACATTATAAGTTAATTAACCGTCTCTTCAATCATACATGCTGCATTACTAGTTGCTGTAATTCTGTGTTATTTTGCTAGCAAATCTGATAATCTATCACATACATATTAAGAAAGACAATTTTGCTTTTAGCTTGATTAATCTGAAAATTTCCGAAGCCTTATCTATCTCTTGCCAGTGTGTCGTCAATTTGTTGGGCTGAACAGAGAAATTCTCATTAATGCAACTGATTCCTTGACACCTTAAGGAGCTATAACTGCTCCTTAAAATTAATATAGCAGCTAGCAAGTCAAGCAGCATATTTAAACAGCACTGCAAAATTTTGGCCAGCCTAAATATTCCCAAAGTCTGATAGGGAAAATGAGTTTTGATTGGGACTAAGAAACAAAAAAAGGGTTTTACAAAGACAGTCCCCAGATTTGGGGTATTTTGGGTCAGTGTTGGACATTAGAAAATCCTTGGAAATCACGCTGGTGGTGCCTTCCAGAATTTCTCTCCAGAGTAACTGAGAGACCCTAAAATCTCAGACACACCAGCTCTCACAGATAAACAAAGCTTCCTTGGCTAATGTACTGATAGCATCACTTCAGGGCAACCGCAGATATATGCTGTAAATTCAATTTTATTCCAAGGAAACACAGTGCTATAAAGACAATACTCTCTCTTTCACTCCAACTGTTTCTCCCACTGTCTGCCATCAGTTAAGGTGCGACTAAATTAACGATCATTTTATTCACATCCATTCTGCAGTCTCCAGCAGAAAGCCAGTGAGCTTAGCCAAGCTGTCCCTGCCACACACAACTGGGATGCAAATATTATGTTTTCTACCTGAGATATCCATGTCTGATGTCTTTTACTTAATTTTTTCACCCCGTATATACACTGAAGATCAATAAGAGTGAATGCCAGATGTCCCATTTTCATGCTCACATACTCTAAAGCAACCTGAGGATATTTTTAAGAGTAACTCACCCTCTGCTGACACTGGTTCTGTTTTTCTGGAACGCACCATGACAGAAGCTGCTTTGGACAGGTCTGTTCCAGTTCTCCAGACGTGAATCTCCACGTAACCAGCACTTTCATCCACTTGATATTGAGTGTTACCAAAGTACACAGCAGGTTCTAAATGCAGAGAGAAACACATCTATTTTTGAAAGAGCCTCTTTTGACCTGCTCTTGTTCACATGTATATTTACTGCTTAAACTCTCCAGTCTGACTTTTAGTGCTCAAACTGTGCAGTTTGACTTTTAATACGTTAACAATTTTAATATGTTAACAATTTCCCCTGCAAATCCCCATAATATCTACTGTCCACTTACATAAATATTATTACGCACCTGCCCACCACTTAATGTAAGGGGTTTTTTATCCTTTAAAAAACAAATGAAACACTCCTTGAATTAAGTAAATAAAGTGTTATATCTACATATTTTTGATCTTATCTGCAACTGACAGAGATCTTCCACAGCCAGCTGTTTACCTTACCATCTAAAGTAAAACAGCCATTTGAAAAATTGTGACTACACAGCATAACACAGACATAAGACATGGGATAGTTCTTCCATTACAGTTTTAAGTAAAACAAGGCAGAAAATCTTTTTGAAATCTACTGTTAAAGGAAATATATACCTAAATTACCTTCCCCTAAAAGATAAAGGCAGCTTGCAGTATTTCAAGAGTTTAGACTTTTTTTTTTTTTAATTGTTTTCAAAGCATACATTTGATATGGATGTGGCATACTAAAGGGTTACAAGCTGGTTTTTTTTTTTTTTTTTCTTTAGTGTGGTAAACTGACTTTAGTTATTCATAGGGATACAAAAAGTTGCACAATCCAGGTCATGGAAAAGGTCAATATTAAATTGGGTTTAAGCAGACTCTGTTGTTTAGCGTAAGAGATCAAACATCACAAGACTGTCTCAAACTAGCGCCAATTTAGCCGCCTGTCTGAATACCCATCAAGAAGAATGAAGCAGCACACACTGGAGACACGTTATACCTGCTGCTTTTACCAAGTAATGGATAGAGTCTGCTAAATTCAATACATGGCCTCCTTTACTTTTGTCACCTAAACAATAGTAGGCTTTATCTTGCTATCAGTATTAATAAAGCCTGACACATTTTGTCTGTGTTGCATATTATTACTAATCTATATTAACACAATGCAGAGAATCTCTCCAATACCACAGCAACATTATTTTAGCACAATGGCCAATATCTTCTTTAGTAGAACCGCTGCAGTTGCACAAAAGCCTGGCACTCATCTAATACGCTGCACTTCTATTGTACCTCTTGGGGAAATTCAAAGAACTCTGAAAAGCTTTAGAAGTCGTGATTGTTGTCTCCTACAGCTGGGGAAATGGGAGCTTACACCAAGGTCCATAAAGAGTTTTTTACTTTTGGTTATCTTGTTTTCCAGAGCTCAGTTTATTACTGAGCTTAAAGCCATTTTTAAAGAAGGGACAGACAGTTTCCAATGACTCAATGTGCCAAGTAGAGCACAGAAAAATACACAGGCTTTTCTACATAATGTGAGGCAACTCAATTAATAAGAGTGCCTCTTCCTAGTAGTAATTTTTTACATTCTGGATCTCACCTTCCCAAACCTAAATAAATGTTCTTTTGCAAATGGGGGAGAATATCTAGCTGAGTTCTTTTGTCAACAGGGACAGACAGCACTGCTCAGCTAATTAAGAATATTATATTTGCCTAGAGGCACTATCTGCTTCCTCCATGTATATATAAAAACATCAGAACACCATCTGGCCCTAAACCTATATGAACCTTGCCACTCCAGCTTGCAGCACCTTTGGATACTTACTGTAATTTTCTTGAGCCACTGAACTGTGAACCTTCACATTACTTTACCATCAGAGCAGACCCTGATAATCACAGACTTGCTGCAGAAGCAGACGAGGTCTTCAGCACACAGTATTAAGGAAGGTACAAGTGTTCCAAGCAGGACTGCATTAATATTTATTTTCAACCTTTTGATAAATTACCTTTAAACCGGCTAAAACAATATCTTCCTTAGACAGCCCAGCAGGATGTCTGACAAAGCAAAGCTTTTGCATGCAGAACTCAAGAGAAAGGTTAGAGAATGCAACTAGACTTGGTGATGGGTTAGATAGTTTAACAAAACACAAAGCTCTTTGAAAACATGTTTTTTTGAGGGACAGATCTATTCATCAGGACTGCAGGGGATTGAAGATGTTAGCTTTCTTCTTGAAAAATTTCAAATTTTGAAGTATTGTTTTGTTTTAAGAAAAAGGGTATCACAATTGAAAGTCAAACTGAATGTCTCATTTTATGTTAATTAAATATTTCAAGCTTTTTTCAAAGAAAATTTTGCTTTGCCTAAAGTAGTACCCCAACAAAAATTTTTCTCCCCACCTTCCTCCCACCCCTCCAATCAGCAGTTCTAATGATCAGTTATTTGCTAGTTTTGGCATTTTTCCCCCTGCCATGACAGGTAAGAGTTTGAAGACAATCACATTCCCTTCCCACCGGCTATGCATTTTTCACTATTGAAGTCTTCCCTACATGGTAGGGAGAACAGTAGGGGTCTAAATATCCGAACTTACATGCCTTTTTGTCACAGCTAATGGATTATCAAGTGACTAATGATGCCCTATAAGTTGTTACAGTTCTGTTTAACTAACTTGTGTAAAGCACTGAAAGACTAATCCTTCACAAGGCAACGGCAACACTCCAGGTTATATCGGTGTCACTGGGACCAGGATCCTACTTCAACTAAGTGGCCAGAAAAATCACTGGGGTCCCCCACCAAGAGTGGAAAAATCATTTGGAAAAACACAATTTGACAAAAACTGCTACAATTTTGGCCACATTTCATGAAGCTGATCACTGCAAAGTATTCACTCTGGCAAGACTAATCAAGAATCTTTGTAATTAAAAGACAATTATTATTGATATTTTTTAAAATGTAAAAAAAATTTGTAATATAATATTGTCTATTCTTTCCCATTCCTTCTTCCCCTCTGGAAGAACTGTCCAAGATTCTAAATTTAGCTTAAAAATTAGACTGGTTAATTTTCTCTATTTACATAGGAATCTGCTTTCAAATATCAGAAGTCCATCAATTTCCCTTAGGCACAGTTTAATGGATTTTCAAGTACAGGTTGTAAATTCTTTTGAAGTTTTAAGAGACCAGGCAGTTACGCTTACTGCAGTCCACGATAACTATCTTGAATTAGCCTTTAAATACCAGCCTCCTTAATTGGAAGAGTAACTTTTTCCCCCCCTTGAATGTGTGTACTGTGTCTACAACTATATGAACTGTAGCGTTGTAACTTCAGATGTCAGTGCTGCTCCTTTTGATAACAAGTTTTTTGTTTTGAAATATGGCTTAGGGAAATGCAATCATCAGTCATACCATTCTTATTACAGTCATCTTTCCCATTTCTATTATAATCACTGTAATTTGTCATCTTAAATTGTGCTAAGCTTTTTATAATTCTCCTGCTGAGCACTTGAAATGCTTGCTGCAATGATCCAAAGTTTCTCAATATTATTGTATTAACAATGAAAACTACTGAGTAAGCAAATACTTTTGTTCATTTCCAGCACAAGCAGATGAAAATAAGGTAAAAAAAAGTATCTCTATAATTCTTTTTTTTTTAATCATTCAGATGAACATTTCCCATATAAATATAGTACAATGAGAGAAAATTGTTCCTTAGATACTGTGACCAGTGAAATATTCAACAGCATTTTCTGTGTCTTCAGAGTTTCTGAATGCCCAATCTAGATACACCTACTCTCCCCCAAACAGTAGGGATAATAAACATCAGTCAATGTGCTATTAAACATAAAGGTCCAGCCCTCAAGGAAGACGACACTTGTGACTTAGTTACTACAGGGAATTAATCACTTGCCTCTGAAACACAATCCATTCTTATTATGGGGCCCAAAGAAAACCTCTGTACCCTTTAAATTCTATCAAGGCAATGTATTTTAAAGATACCTTATTCAGGACTGTAAAAGCAGATACATCAAGTCAAAAAAAAGGAAAAAAAAAAAGGAAGAAAGAAAAGCATTTTTAGAAGTGGAGATCATTCATGTATTTATACTCTTTTTTTTCCCTTTTAGGATGGTCAATAAAGAAATCATTACACTAATCACTAAACATTTAACTAAGAAAGCAGAACAGCATCTGAGCTAACTGGTAATCTTTAGTAAACAATAGTGATTTCAATCATGAAATGCCATAAGCTATTAATTTAAAATAATTTTTCCTTTATAAAATAATAGGTCTAAGTGTTAGTTTGGCCTGGAAAGCCAGCCAATTTTTTTTAAATTTTTTTTTTTAAGCTGTGGTCCTGAAACCTGTTCTACCTTTGATGCCACTTAAACACACAAGCAAAGAGGTAATGTGCATTTTCGCTTGCTTAGAAAACCACAAGCTGTTTGCACGTATTTCTTCAAAGCTGTTTACTGTAGAACCGGCCCCTTTGTTCAGCTAGACAGGGACAGAGTGCTCCCAGGCACACATGTTATAGGAAAAAGATACACAACTCGGAGCTTACTGGCTTACCATCAAGGGTCTACTACAAAATCTGCATTGTTCTCTGGCTTGGAGACACCCTAGATCAAAGGATAGACTTTGTCTTGACTATTAACTTGCTGTTTCTTTTTAATTCTTGAACTAACTCTTCCCTTCATTTAAATGTTACTATGATGCTATGAGAATGGGGAGTAATAATTAGTTTTAGAGATATTTAAAGTTCTAAACTTTTTCATGCACTAAGCTATATGAAACTGGTGACTCTGAAGGCTCTTGAGACCTAATTATAAGTTGTTTCTGTTTTTTTATGGGCAGGTAACATGACTCTATGAGGAGCTATGGATCTTCACTTGATGCAGTCTGTGGCAGGCCTCTCCTTATGACATTGACAACAAAATTTTAGGACTCTTTTATTTATAAAGAGTTTTCTCTTTAAGGAATCCCTAGGCATATGCCTCAAACCATACTTCAAGCTTTGATCAATGCCTTCATCCATATAATGCACAAACCTTATCACAGCTGAGTAGAGATGGTAGAAATTTGAATCCTTCAGATGCTAAATAGGGATAAGTTTCTACAGTTGTAATGTGAGAGATGAAAATAGCCCCACATACAGAACTAATACTGAAAATTTTAATGCATTTCATAGGAAAAAAAAGTCACTGTAATGTGTGCTTTATTTTCCAGTATAAGGTCATTATGCAGAAACATTTATTTAAAAATGCAGCAAGGTAAGGCCCTTCAGAGAGGGAGACCTAAGTAGAATATATGTAAGAAACCTCAAACCCTGAAACAATAAACCCAAGAAACTGCTTTCTCCTCCAGCCTCACACACACACAGCACCATGGATACCAGTGATCTCACAAGTTTTATGAAGCTCTTCTAAGACATCTCAACAGAAGAGCCAGCAAGACAAAAATAATTTCCATTCCTCCCTGTGCTCTGGTATTGGAGTTTCAAAATGGGAATAGTGACTAAGAGAACTTAATAATGTTTGAATGCCTGGTATTTATCCCACCTTACAGCAACTTTATCTTGATAGAATGTTTTTTCTGAAGTATGTTATATACTTTGTGAATCATTCTGTATAAATATTTAAACAGCAGTAGTTCCACTAACGCAAACTCTAACATACCTGACTGCTTTCCCTGATGACACTTTAAGTGGCTTTCCTTCCTGCTGTAAAGCTTAATGTGAGTAAAACCATTTCAGATCACTTAATATAACTAATTCTTCAACTTCCACTGATATGCGGCAGCACTGAAATGATTGACATTAAAGTTGTAGCATTTACATACAGCTTTCTTTGGCCTAAGAAACCCAAGCCTTTTGTCTCCAGAAGTTCTTTTTTTTTTTTAATTGTTGACAAGAAATATATTTGTTACTTCAAAGCTTACTAATGTTAAGCAATACCAATACTAATACCAAGCAATAACCTGCTTTCTTTGTATTTGAGTATGTCAGAGAGTGTTCACAGAATCTCATCATGGGTAAACAAAAGAGCAAAATAATCAGTCCCAAATTACTTTTATTTAGAAAAAGGGTGAGAAGTATTTCCTGTGTTGCTTGCCATAGCAAGGAACACATTCATACTGCATGTATCTCTGTATGTGGTCATAGCTGCACACTGTCAAAAGGCCTTATCTTGCTATCAACAAAACCTCCATTGACTGCATTGAGGTAGTCTAACACTTCTGTAGGTATTTAAGTACTTATGATGTAATTATTCAAGCTTATCTGCTATATTGCCCTTTACTCAATCCCAGTTATATTTTTATCATCTGCACTTACAAATAAAGGGGTTCAGACCTCAGAGCTGAGGTCATTACACATGAAGAACTATGCCTAGTACTTTGCTGCAGGGTTACCTACTTTTTATTTGAACTGTTAAGCAGTTCATAAAACTAAAATTGTGGAAGTCGTGCCGGTATTATGGACATTTTTGTAAAAATTTGTAATATAAAAAAGCCTACAAATGCAAAAAATGTGTATCATGTTCCAGGTTCATTTATATTAAAGCTAGTCATGGCCTGAATCAATATTAATTTATGCTGTGTATGGTCACTTATCCATACAAGTAGTTTTGGAACACTATCAGGTCTTAATAAAAAAACCTATGCATTTTCCTTTTCTTTTTCTAGGGCTGGCTAACACAGGATTACTGTTATCGCTTAATGCTGGGAATAATTCTATTAATATATATTTTAATCTTTGTCTCTCAATTTCTTTCTTTTTCTCCTTGTAGGGTTCTCTAGTCCTTGTTGTTAAAGGCATCGCAGCGCACCTCATCATGACTAACTTGACCAAAGGATTGTGCAAATGCAGTCAACATCCCGTATCGAAGCTGTGCTCAGCTTTTTTCTAGATGGAAAGAGGCACTTTCAGGCTTACTATTGCCTTATTCCTTTGCCGAGTCTAAAAGTCATTCCAAGTTTGGTCTGCATACTTCAGCTGTTAGCATATTGCACTTTACAATGGGAAATGTTATCTGTTTAAACGAGCTGTTTTTCCCAGTATTAACAAAAACCCCAAAGCATTCATCTTTCAGACACCACCAGGCATATGGCTATGAGATCTTCTTTTTGACTTGAATGGACTGTAGGACTATCTACTGTAGGAGTGGTAAGTATATATACTTATCCACTGTATATACACTTACAGTGCTGTGTAAGTATTAGAAATGTTTGGTGGATCAAGGTATCATTCTGCAGAAAAACAAAACTGGTGAAACTTTACTCTTTGAAACTTAAATTTTACACATTTGAGAAAGAAAGTTGTCCAGTTTCTTGTCAATCAATCCAATGCCAGCAGTCTACTTCCAGGTCAGATCAAAACAGAGTGGCAACCTGTTCCCTGCCTGTTTATTCAAAATGGAAATAGTCTTACAAAGTGATGTATTCTTAAGGGACTTTTCATTTCAGAGCACACTCTTTAACAAATTGACCTTAAGCCCGGCTATCTTTCCATATGACATAGGCTGAGTTCAGAATTACCCTGAATTTATCAGATGATAGGTTGTTAAGTATTTTGCAGTAGAAAGCTTTGTAACAAAAAAAAAAAAAAAAAAAAGCAAGGGAATATATGATAACCTATCAAAGTTGTATTGAAAAGAAGGAGCATGATAATTTTCTGTCAATTAATATAAAAAAAAATTATCTATATAGTAATTTAGCTTTATATATATATATGAAATAATTTTCTACCTATTAAAAACTGCATAGAAAGAAGTTTTGATCTGCTGATAATAAATAATTTTGTTTTCCATGAAAATAAAAATCTGGTCATTGAGCCTGGTAAGGAAAACAACTCTTTCTTTGCCACAATGGCTTAATTTTGCATTATTTTCTCCCTACTCTCTGAAAAGGATAAAGAAGCCTTTCAACAAATCTCATCAAGCTGAAGATCATGATACTCTTATTAACTTCATTCTTATGGCAAATTCACTTCTGATGTAAATCCTTTGGCCCCAGAGAAATTACATCAGTGATTATTTTGGCCCATTTATATGTTCCATTTCAGGAAACAACATTTTCCCCTCATCAATTTGACTGTGTCTCTTTTGACTAGTTGACTTCTGCAATACATACAAAAGGGTAGAAATAAACAGTAGCTAATAGAAATACTCTCCTAGATCCTTAGCTTCTTGCTTTTCTTCATATAAGAGAGTGAAAATTACTTTTTTTATGACAGAACACAGAAATCAGCCCCCAAATTCTCATTATTTATGAAGTTAATCAAAAGCTCCAAAGAATCAGCTCAGTATAGCTTAAATATGAAGCCTGACCACTATCGTATATCATGGATTTGCCTGATCACAGTACAAAACTCCTGCCTTATTCAGCACAATTATATTCACAAGACTGGATTAGCAAGAAAGATTTAGACAGAGACTAAAAGAACAAGCAGAAGTATGACAATAAGGTACATGGCTTTTCTTCTGCTTCTGTCCAATAGTATCAATTCTTGAATTGAATTGTGTGTCTCCAACTTTATAATAAAAAAGGAAGACTCGCATTTCTACCTTAAAAGTGCACTAATCTTGACACACTGGGAATTACTGTGCATGCCAAATTAGCCTCTATTAACTAGTTCTACTCTTTAGCTTTATCTGATAGCCTACAAATTTTTTCATCTATAATATTGTCACAAAACTAATCATATACCTGTGTAAGCTACTGTATTCACAGACTCTGCTACAGTAACAGTAAATCTAACCCTCACAGATCTACCTCAGAGTAATAAAGCAGCCATCTAGTCCTATGCCAGTAAAGAAAATAAAATCTAATCCTCAACTCCTGCTGCAATAACAAAACAGTGTAAGCCAAAGTGCATGATACATATTTACATTGTATCTTAAACATAGTTCATGTGTGTTCTGCCAGTTTTTCTACTGAGTAAGCAAATCCTAGACTCATGTTTTCTGCTGTTTAAAAAACAAAAACACAGTGGAAGAGATTATTTAATCAGTAAAACTTCCACAGAGGAAAGTCCCAGCAAAACAAAATTGCTTCTTCATACTCACCATCATCTGTGTCAGCCAAGATTATTACTTTCGTGCTTGGGAATTCAGTGCCAATTTGGCCACCCACTGGCACGCTCAGAGAAATATTGAAGGTCTCATCTTCCTCATACAGGGAATCATCAATAATGATAATACGACAGATTTTCTCAGTCTCACCCTTATTAAAATGAACAATGCTGCTATGATCTTCAGGACGTGAGATGTAGTCAGAGTAAGACAAGACAGTGGATTGTACTGTGCCAGTAGCAGAACCTATGAGGAGAGAGGACAAAAAATGAATTAGAGGGACTCAGGACTTTAAAGAAGTGGAAGAACAACTGCCCTTTGAATGCAAAAAACACAGAAAAAATATTTTGCTGGAACTGACTAATAAATGTGCTTTGGTAACAAGTGAAGCACAGTAAATTCTTCCTATTTATAATCACAACTTTTCCAGTAGCAAAGTGGCTCAGAGGGCTCTTATTATCACCCAGCACCCTCATGAAACCATTCCTGCTCCCAATTCACTACTATCTCCAGTTATCCTGACTCAACTTTTTTGTGGGGCTGCACTTCAACCATGTGAGAGAAGTGAGTCAACTAATTAAAAAAAAAAAAGCACCTCTCAAAAATATGCTTTGATACAAATTATGTAGAGCACAGCCCCACCAGCAGTTCAACGGTCACAATAAAAAGAAATTTTGTGAGGGAAGAAGAATCCAAGAGCAGTTAGGAGAGGCAAGGGGCAAACCCCCAAAACAGGTTTTGCTGTTGAAAGATGAGGATGTGGAACTACACCCAATTTAACAATCACACACAACTGACCACATTTCGTAACATTTGCACCGAAAAATGGCAAGATGTTTTCCCTTTTCACTTCTACACACTACTCCTTCATGGATCAGAATGCCTATGAAAGTCACCGGGACTTTAGGACGAGGACTCTTCCTGAACAAATGAATGCGAATTTGAACTTCACATTTACCTCATTGGGTGATTCTTAGAACGTGGGGGGAAAAAAATCACTCCCTCTTAGTTCTGCTCTGTTCATTTGTGTGAAATACTTGTTAAAAACAAAGTAGGGCTCAAATGCAATATGAACCTAGGAACTGCTGTGGATTTGCACTACCAGCATCCTTGTAGCCAATTGGGATGTTACTACCTGGTTGAGTGCACTGCTAGATGGCTGAAAACCGGCTATATCACCAGGATTAAAGAGCGGTGGTGAATAGTTTGTACTCCACCTGAAGGCCAGTTACAAGTGGCGTTCAGCAGCAGCCTACTCTGGGTCCGCAGGGATTTTCAGGGGACAAAAGCCTGAGCAACCCTGTCCCACCTCACAGCTGCCCCTGCTTTGAGGAGCAGATATCAAGGTCCCTTCTAACCCACGTAATTCTGAGTACATTAGGGGGCCTGATTTTCAGAGGTCTTAAGTATGCACAACATGCATTGGTTACCTTCCTTTACCATGGCCAGGGGTTAGTAATGTGTCCGACACTTATTAAGCAGGCTGAG